GGGCCTCCTGGGGCCTCCTGGGGCCTCCTGGTGACCTCCTGGGGCTTCCTCCTGGGCCTCCTGTGGCCTCCTGGACCCCACCTGGGGCTTCCTAAAGCTTCTTGGGGCTCCCAGGGGGGGGTTCTAACATGTGGCCGTCGGGGCCCCCCAAAATGGGGGGGGAGGCCACAAGAGCAGGAAAAATCAACGAATCGACACCGGATGTGTATTAACTGGACACGTTCTGATAGGGAGCCTCCTGGGGCCTCCTGGGAGCCTCCTGGGAATCTCCTGCGGACCCCTGGGGCATGTCCTGAGCGTCCTGCGGCCTCCTGGAGCTCTCTGGGGCCTCCTGGGGCTCCCAGGGTCCCAGGGGGGATGTGTGACATGTGGTCTTCTGGGCCCCCAGGCTGGACCACCTCCTGCACAGCATCTGAGAGCTCAGAGTTGCGAGAATGTTTTGTGCGAAACGGGCCGGACCACCTTGAGAACGGCATCTCAGAGCTCAGAGTTACGAGGATGTCTCAGGCGAGATGGGCCGGACCACCTCGCGCAGGGCATCCCGGAGCCCAGAGTTGTGAGGATGTCTCCAGCGTGACGGGCTGCACCACCTCGCGCGCGGCATCTCGGACCCCAGAGTTGCGACGATGTCTCGGGCGAAACGTGCTGCGAGGAAGTCTCAGGCGAAACGGGTCGGACCACCTCGAGCGCGGCGTCTCAAAGCTCCGAGTTGCGGAGGCCTCCTGGGGCCTCCTGGGGCCTCCTGGTGACCTCCTGGGGCTTCCTCCTGGGCCTCCTGTGGCCTCCTGGACCCCACCTGGGGCTTCCTGAAGCCTCTTGGGGCTCCCAGGGGGGGATATCTAACATGTGGCCGTCGGGGCCCCCAAAAATGGGGAGGGGGCCACAAGAGCAGGAAAAATCAACGAATCGACACCGAATGTTTATTAGCTTGACACGTTCTGATAGGGAGCCTCCTGGGGCCTCCCGGGAGCCTCCTGGGAATCTCCTGCGGACCCCTGGGGCCTGTCCTGGGCGTCCTGCGGCCTCCTGAAGCTCCCTGGGGCCTCCTGGGGCTCCCCAGGGAGGATATGTAACATGTGGTCTTCTGGGCCCCCAGGCTGGACCACCTCTTGCGCGGCATCTGGGAGCTCAGAGTTGCGAGAATGTCTTGTGCGAAACGGGCCAGACCAACTTGCGCACGGCATCTCAGAGCTCAGAGTTGCGAGAATGTCTCAAGCGAGACGGGCCGGTGTCTCGGGCGAAACGTGCTGCGAGGAAGTGCCGGACCACCTCGAGTGCGGCGTCTCAGAGCTCCGAGTTGCGGGGGCCTCCTGGGGCCTCCTGGGTTCTCCTGGTGACCTCCTGGGGCTTCCTCCTGGGCCTCCTGTGGCCTCCTGGACCCCACCTGGGGCTTCCTGAAGCTTTTTGGGGCTCCCAGGGGGGGGGGTTCTAACATGTGGCCGTCGGGGCCCCCCAAAATGGGGGGGGAGGGCACAAGAGCAGGAAAAATCAACGAATCGACACCGGATGTGTATTAACTGGACACGTTCTGATAGGGGGTCTCCTGGGGCCTCCTGGGAGCCTCCTGGGAATCTCCAGGGGATCCCTGGGGCATGTCCTGGGCGTCCTGCGGCCTCCTGAAGCTCTCTGGGGCCTCCTGGGGCTCCCGGGTCCCAGGGAGGATATGTAACATGTGGTCTTCTGGGGCCCCAGGCTGGACCACCTCTTGCGCAGCATCTGGGAGCTCAGAGCGGCGAGAATGTCTTGTGCGAAACGGGCCAGACCACCTTGCGCACGGCATCTCAGAGCTCAGAGTTGCGAGGATGTCTCAGGCGAGACGGGCCGGACCACCTCGCGCAGGGCATCTCAGAGCTCAGAAGTTTGAGGATGTCTCAGGCAGGCTCCCAGGGTCCCAGGGATGATATGTAACATGTGGTCTTCTGGGCCCCCAGGCTGGACCACCTCTTGAGCGGCATCTGGGAGCTCAGAGTTGCGGGAATGTCTTGTGCGAAACAGGCCGGACCACCTTGCGCACGGCATCTCAGAGCTCAGAGTTGCGAGGATGTCTCAGGCGAGACGGGCCGGACCACCTCGCGCAGTACATCTCAAAGCTCATAAGTTCGAGGATGTCTCCGGCGAAACGGGCTGGACCACCTCTCGCGCGGCATCTCCGAGGTCAGAGTTTCGAGGATGTCTCATGCGAAACGGGCCGGACCACCTCGCGCGCGGCATCTTGGAGCTCAGAGTTGCGAGGATGTCTCAGGCGAAACGGCCCGGACCACCTCTCGCGCGGCATCTGGAGCTCAGAGTTTCGAGGATGTCTCAAGCGAAACGGCCCGGACCACCTCTCGCGCGGCCTCTCAGAGCTCAGATTTAGGAGGATGTCTCAAGCGAAACGCTCAATCCCGGACAACTCAGAAACGAGAGTTGTGAGGATGTCTCAGGCGAAACGGGCCGGACCACCACATTTGTTTGAGGATGTCTCTGCTTAGCTTTCCCTCGGCCGGAGTTAGCTTCTATCACAACAGCACCCCGTTCAGCAAGCTGTTTGGGGAAAAATGTCGGACACGGCCTTTCGTTATTTCCTACATCTTGTTCTGCGTGAGATCGGTGTCACAAAAATCCCAACCGCACCGTTAACCAAGCACGCCGTTAGCGCGGCCTTGGGTCCAGAAGATGCTCGGACCTCGCCTTGTACGGCTTCGTGCACAGGCGTCAATAGCCGATGTGGTCGATATGCGTTTCCCGGAGATCCTGGTGTTGCATCTTTTCCACAACAGGAGTTTTTGCTCAATTTCGGGCCCCGAGACCCTCACATATCGCTCCAGCTCGAAAAATGGCGCAGAAAGATGCGGTCTGGGGCTCCGGGCGTGATATTCTGCGATGTCGCATTTGTTTGGCAACGTCGGATCTCAGGGTTAAACGTAACCTCTCCGGCCGCCCCGAGAAGCGTTCTGGCCACGCTGCTTGCCGCACTCCTGTTCGCCTGAGCTCCACAGCGCAGCCCAGGAGATCCCTGATTATAATTGTTTCCTGTGAGTCGAAAACAAACAAACTAGAAAACTAGACGAAAGCAAACAAACTGAAACACTGGTTTCTCAATGTTTCAACCAGGAGGCCAATGATTGAAATTGACATAGAAATTATGATGCAGTGAAAAACCCACATGTATTTTCGATGTTTCACTTTTGGGGGAGGGGATTGAGGTTTTCAAGTTTGAATTTATTATTCCCAGGATTGAAATTTGGAATTGTTTGAATATTTCAATCCCGAGGCTCCGGGAATGAAGTTTTCAATTCCTGCTTTGGGGATCCATCAGTTGTCGATGATTGACCACATGTTCCTCAACAGCTGAGCGCCGGCAAGTCCGTTGATTCAGCCAAGCTGCATGAACATTAAATGTTCGGAGCTCCGCACGAATTTCTTGGATCTGCGCCGGGGGCCTCGGGCGGCGCCTCCGGCGCCGCCCCTGGCGCGTGACGTGCGCCCGGGAGGGGGTCCCAGCGCCGATGCGACAAAAGTCCTCGCGCAGTCCCGACAGGGTATGTTGCTGCCGCTCCTGCTCTCTCTCTCTCTCTCTCTCTCTCTACAGGAAAATGACACGGCGGTCAGCGCCTTCGTGTCCACCCTGACGCCTGGAGCCATCATCGGGGACATCGGCTTCGTGGGCTCGCGTGTCACCCGGGCGGCCACGGTGCGCGCGAAGACCACCTGCGTGGCGGTGCGGATCCCGGCCAGGGGGATCCTGGCGGTGCTGACCAGCTACCCGGGCCTGTGCGCCTGCATCCACGGCCGCCTCCAGGGGGTCGCCATGCTCCTGCAGCCGAGCCTGCCGGTGCGCACGCAGGCGCTGAGCACGCTGAAGCTGTTCTCGGACAGCGCGGCCTCCTTCGTCGCCACGGTGGCCAGCACCTCGGAGAGGAAGGTGTACTTCTGCGGCAGCACCGTCACGGAGCAGGGCAGCAGCGACGGGACGCTGCACTCGGTGGAGTTCGGCGTGTGCAGGGCCAGCAGGGGCAACGCTGGGGGGGATGGGCTCAGCAGGGGGCACGTTGGGAGCATCAGGGATAGGCTCGATAGGGGACGGGGCCATTAGGGGCAACTTTAGGGCCATCGGGGGCAACGTGAGGGGGCAACGGAAGGGGGGGATCCATCGACCCCCAAATCGCCTGTGCTGATCGCCGATGCGGGCCTGATGGCCCCACCCCGCCGAGGACCGTGCGGCTTCGCCATCGGGGGGCCTGTCGCTGACCTGTCGACGACGCGTCGCCGACTTCGGGTACCGTCGGGGCCCTGAAGAAGGAACCCTTTTCGTTGGGGAGGGGCTCCGCGTTCCTTGAGTGTTTCGCAGCTTGCCTCAGGTTTTCCTCATGTCTTCGATGGAAGATCAAAGCTTAGCCTATGGAAAAAAAGGGGCCCCGTTCCTCATTTCGGGCTCCTTAGGTCAACGCGCCGACTGTACCCCCTCTGGGCTGGCCCCCCGGCGGTCTCCGGGCCACGGCCCGCGCCCTGGGCGCGGGCCACGGCCCGCGCCCTGGGCGCCCCCGAGAAGCACCCTCGGCGAGGCGGCGCGGTGCCGGCAGGCAGGCCCAGGCCGGAAGAGGCAGGCCGAGAGCCGACGAGGAGGCCCGGCAGCTGCGGACCTCGAGCCTCGGACGCCTCGGGCCCGACACGCTCGGCATCGCTCGGGCGTGTGCGCTTTTTCCGCCGGCGAGGGCCAGCGAGGAGCATCCTCGATCATTCGGTGGAAAGGCCACGCGCGAAGCCGAAAAAAAAGCACAGGGAATGGACGTTCGCGAGCGATGGCCCGAGGCGGTGCCCCTCTCAGGCCGACGTCGCCGGCCAGGGCACGGTGGGCACCCTCCACGTCGGGATGTGCTTCGGCGAGCAGGTCTTCCTGGGGCTCTCCGAGAGGGCCGCGGCCACGGTGCGCGTGCACTCGCCCATCGCGTTGCTGCTCTCCGTGCGCCGGAATGCCTTCGCGATGTCGATGAAGCGCCACCCAGAGGACCCCGACCTCGTGGGGGGAAGGTTCGAGGTTCGAGCAGTGGCGAAGCGCCCCGGCGTGCCTATAGGCCCACCAAGGATTGTTCTAAGAACCTTTCTTGGCTTGCACGAAATGTTCTTGGAGCATTTCTGGCTGAGACTGCTTTGTTTTCACACATCGGGCACATGTTCTGAGCACATTATGTTGTGTTCGAACATAGCTGGGTTCTGAGAACGTTTCGAGGTAGACCTACAGGAATGCCGAGACGGTCGGCCTCTGATCAAGAGGTTCTTAGGCTCGGGGGGAGTTTTTGCGTTGGTCTGCCTTTGGGGCTCGTCTTCGGGCCTGGGGGCCGTGAGGAACCGGATCCGGGGTGAGACACATTGCGCCGGGTGGGCCCCGGGAGGTGGCCACAGGGACCGAGTTTGAGCGGATGCGGGCCGGTCGGGAGAGCCGCCGTGGTCTCGGCTGGCCCTCTTCCTCTTCCGGTGGCGGCCCCACCGATCCTGGCCAGGCCCGTCCTCCTCCTCCTCCTCCTCCTCCTCCTCCTCCTCCTCCTCCTCCTCCTCCTCCTCCTCCTCCTCCTCCTCCTTGGGTCCAGGATCTGCGTATGAGCGCCCTCCTGGCCTGGCCAGGGGAAGCGCCTCCAGGATCGCCAGGTGGGGCCCAACCAGGTTCGGCGAGGCGTGCTGGTGACGCCCCCCCCAGAGGAGGCCCACCGCTTCGCGAGCAGGCGCTCCGAGCCCAGCGAGGACTTCCGCGGCAGGGACGTCGCCTCCCTGGACGTGTTCCGCGCCTGCGACCGGCGCTTCACGCAGGAGATGTGCGATATCATCGAGATCCGGTACTATCCTGGAAGGCCAGAAGACCAAGTGAGCATAAACTTTCGGAGGTCTGTGCGGATGCGGTGCGTCGGCGCTGGTCCACCCCTCCCCGCGCCCTGGCGGCGCCTCCGGCGCTGCCCTTCGTGGGCGAAAAGCATATGCGTATCCGCGGCCTCGCGGGCCAGGCCCCTGGGCCGCGACCCCACGGATACGGGGCGTTGTTTCGCAAGTGCCCCCCGCGGAACGTATCCGTGCCGCCGCGTGTCCGTGGGATCGCGCCCCAGAATCCCTGCCGCGAGGGCGTAGCTTTCTCTCGGGCATGTCCCTCTACAGGGGGAATATTCAAAGATAGTAAAGAAATAGTCTGGGGACGTGTCTTCGTGCTCTGTTGACTATTCTTATACAGTTGTTGGCTATGCTCTTCTTCCAGGATCCGCCTGTAGGAGGACACGCCCGACTCAAGCGCGGATGCGGCTGCACTCGCCGTCGTGAGCCCCCAGCGTTCGACACGCTCGCTGGGGCAGCAGGAGCGCGCAGAGGGCCTTGGGGGGCCGCATGCGAACCCTACCCCTACCCACCACCATTTCGGAGGGGGAGGGCGGGGTTCACTTCGCTCGGGAGCTCTCGAACGAAGCGAACCCCGCCCTCCCCCTCAGAAATCGTGGGGGGTAGGGGTAGGGTTCGCATGTGGCCCCCTGGGTCCGCAACGGAGCTCCGGCAGGCCCGCAGGGGGGCGGGCCGCTGGCGGCCGGCCCTGCTGCGGCAGGGCAGGAGGAGGAGGAATAGGAAGAGGAGGAGGAATGTGAGGAGGAGGAGGAGGAGGAGGAGGATAGGAATAGGAAGAGGAGGAGGAGGAGGAGGAGGAGGAGGAATAGGAGGAGGAGATGTGAGGAAGGAGGAGGAGGAGGAGGAGGAGGAGGAATATGAGGAGGAATAGGAGGAGGAGGAGGAGGGGGAGGAGGAGGAGGAGGAGGAGGAGGAGGAGGTCCGCAACGGAGCTCCGAACGTTGCAGCCCACGCCGTGCCTTCTTTCTGGCCCTCCGGCCCCATCGGCCGGGCCAGACGGCGACCGTGCAGGGGGCGGCGGACGCCGGCCAGATGTTCCTCGTGAAGGGCGGGAGCGCACAGGCAGGGCCGCCCATGGGATCCTCTTCGGTGCACTTCGATTCGCCAGCTGGGCCTGCGATTCCGATTCCCCTGAGATCCTGGCGTTGCAATTTTTGGACAAGGGGGGTCGTAGCTCCATTTCGGGCCCCGGGAGCCTCACTGACCGATCTGACTCGAAGCACGACGCAGAAAGATGCGGTCCGGGGCTCTGGGCGTGATGTTTTGCGATGCCGCCATTTGTTTGCAGCGTCGGACCTCCGGGTCGATGCGGTTTGGTTCACCGGCATCGGCTGAGGCCAGCTGGAGCCAGGCGCGGCGGTCCGATTTCGGTTCGATGCTGGACGATTCGCCGGGGACGCGCTCCGTGTCCGGTCCGATGCGCTGTTGCGGTGCGCTGCACCTCGGGCCCGAGAGGCAGAGGTGGGGGGCAAGCGGGTGCAGCAGCTCGGGATCGGGTCGATCTTCGGGGAGTACGCCATGCTCGGCCTCACCCGGAAGAGAGCGGCCACGGTGCGGGCGACGACGCTCTGCGTGACGATGGAGATCCCCCGCGCGGGCTTCCTCGCGGCTCTGGACAGGCACCCGGAGGAGCGGGAGCACTTCGAGGAGCTGGCGACGCAGAAGTGGCACGCCGGCGTGCGGACCTGGCCGATCTTCCAGGACACGCCGCGGCACCTGCTGTACCTCGTCAACCTGTACGCGGAGCGGCGGATCACCCTGCCCACGGAGTGGACGTCCATGGGCGGGCAGAGCTTGTGCAGAGAGGCCGCAGTGCTGGTGCTGCAGGGCACGATCACCTTCGACGGGGAGGACGAGGCCCACGAGTACAAGGACGGGGACTGCATTAACGAGCAGGTGCTGATGGATTTTCCCCCCGACGCCGGCGAGCTGTTGCCCCAGACCTCCTGCGAGGTCCAGATCTTGACCAAAGCCGTGTTCAGCAAGATCATGGACTTCTTCCCCGACCTGCGCGACGCCGTGAGCAAGAACATCTTGCTGTCGATGGCCAGGAAGGCGCACAGGAGACTCGGCCTCCACAAGAGCTCGGCCGAGCTGCTGAGCATGTCGGCGCTCTTTCGGTCGGTGCCCGAGGAGCTGGCTGAGAAGCTGTTTGCCCTGCTCCGGGAAAGCGTCTACAGGCCAGATCAGGCCATCACCACCGAGGGCGCCGAGGGCGACAAGATGTTTTTTTTCCTCCGGGGCTCCTACAGCCTCCAGACGGGCGCCGACGTGGAGCAGGACTCGGTGAAGACAAATCTGCAACGTCAGAAGCTTTAGGCGCAGGTCGGCTTGTGTGGCGCTCCGGGTTTGCCTGGCGGCTGTCTTTACTCGCACTGTGCTCACTGCCGAGGTGCCAGGGGCGGCGCTGGAAGCGACGCCAGGGGGATCCATCGCAGATCCACCAAATCCGCGCGAGGCGTCGAAAGTTTCTGTTTACGCCGCTGTTCTTCATCCATGGTTAAGTCGGGCATGCCCCCCTACAGGAGGAATATTCCAAAATAGTCTGGGGACGCTTTGTTGAGCATCTCTGAACCATTTGGGGGTATTTTCTGACACTTTTTGCGTTTTCGTCAAATTTCCCCCTGTAGGAGAACATGCCCGACCTAAATCAGAGGACGCCCAGCTGAGGTGCAGTGTCTTCGGCGAGGCGGTGCTGGTGGGCCTGACGAGCGCTTACCCGGCCGCCGTGCGGTCAACCGGTTTCACGCTGGTGCAGACCTTGTCCAGATCGGACTTCAAGGCGGCCCTGAAGGGCTACCCGGAGGCTTTCAGTTGAAGGGGAAAAATTCAATAAGCATAAATAGTTGCGCTCTGCGCGTGTTTCTTGGATCCGCGCTGGGCTCCCCCGGCGGCGCCTCCAGCGCCGCCCCTGGAGCGCTCCGCGCGCCAGGAAGGGGATCCGGCGCAGATCCAAGAAATCCGCGCGGAGCGCCAACATGTTTTTATCTTCATGGCGCTTTCTGTGTCTAAATTAAGAGGCAGCGTCAGGTGGGGGGATAGGCTCAGGCGGGGACGCATCGTGACCCAATCGCCCGCTGAGCGCTGACCGCGGCCCCACAGCCCACCCCGGCCCCGCCGAGGGCCGAGCGGATCTGCCATATCGGGGCTTGCCGCCGATCTATCGTCGACGTATCGCCGATTCTTGGTCGACGTCTCCCCCCCTGTGCCATGTCTTCGCCGAGCGCTGCCCCGGAGAGGAGTGGGAGCGCTTCGAGGCGCTGAGGCTCCGGCTGGCGGGGGACGGCAGCCACGGCCGGCTGAAGCACAGGTCGTGGGGGGACCCGCTATACTCGAGACGGGCGTGTCCCCCTACAGGAGGAGTGTCCAAAAATAGTCCAAAAATCGTATCCTTCATTTGTTTTAGTTATTGATGGGCAGTTGATGACTATTGTTTCATTTTCGCCCGAAATCCACCTGTTGGAGGACATGCCCGACATGAAACTATACACCCGCACCGATCCTGACCAGGAGGGCGCCCTCCTGGCTCGGGCAGGGAGGCATATGCACCGTTCTTGGGCCAGGTCGGGGGCCTGCCCTATGTCGGTGCAGGTGCGCTCCCAGACTTACGTCGGGCACGTCGCTCTACAGGAGGAAGATTAAAACATTCAGAAAAAATGTTTGGGAACGATTTGTTGCAAATGTTCCAGCGTTTGTCGTCCAATATCCGCCTGTAGGGGGACACGCCCGACCTAATCCCAGACCCCCCTCGAGTGATGAACAAAAATCACGACGGAAGGTTTTTCGCTCTTGTCGGCTTCTGGGGGCCCTCACTGGGCCGCGGGACCGTGAACGAAACTACTCGGGACGAAAGACAGGGAATGGACGAAAAACCGGGGAAAGGACTCAGGGACCGTGAAAGAACGTACCTGGGATTGGGTCGAGCCTTCTGGGGGTCGACGTCATGGGGTCTGCGCTGCTAGCGCCCCCCGAGCAGGCTGAGGCAGAACCCGTTCCTGACGGAGTCGGGCGCGGAGTTCCTCACAGCCTGCTGCCAGTGCGCGGAGGACTCAGGAGTGAAAAAAACAAACAGACACAATTAATCGGCGATTCCCAGAAAATATAGGAAAATATGGGAAATGGAGGGGAAGACAAAAACCCAGAACATATGGGAAAATATGGGGGACATGTTTATTTGTGTGTATTTATTTGTGTGTCCCAGCTCCCCTTCAAGGACTCGAAGAAGAAAGAGCGACATGCACAGAAACGTTTGGAGCTCCGCGCGGATGTCGTGGCTCGGCACCCGGCACCCCCCCTGGCGGCGCCCCCGGCGCCGCCCCTGGCGTCGCCCCTGGCGCGCCAGGGAGGAAGGCACAGCACAGATCCGAGAAATGCGCGCGGAGCTCCGAACGTTTCTGCTTCAACCTTTTTCGTCCCCCGGCTGTGAGGACGCCTTCTTCGCCCCCGGGGAGGTCATCATCAACCGCGGCGACGTCCTGGGCCTGGGCCGGAGCCCGCTCTACGTGCTGCTGTGCGGCGAGGTGCGAAGCGAGCACAACAGACACACTTGTTCACAATCCGCAGACCGCCCTGCGGCAGGGAGGAGGAGGAGGAGGAGGAGGAGGAGGAGCAGCAGCAGCATCAGCAGCAGCAGGAGGAGAAGGAGGAGGGAGAGGAGGCGGAGGAGGAGGAGAAGGAGGAGGAGGAGGAGGAGGAGGGAGAGGAGGAGGAGGAGGAGCAGCAGCAGCAGCAGCAGGAGGAGAGGAGGAGGGAGAGGAGGAGGAGGGGAAGGAGGAGGAGGGAGGAGAGGAGAGGAGGAGGAAGAGGAAGAGGAGGGAGGGGGGGGGGGCAAACGCAGCCAGCGAATCAGCGGAGGAGGAGGAGGAGGAGGGGAGAGGAGGAGGAGGAGGAGGAGGGAGGAGGAGGAGGAGGAGGAGGAGGAGGAGTAGGAGGGGGAGGAGGGAGATGAGGAGGGTGCGGCGAGGTGGACGTGCTCAGCGAGCACAACGTACACATGCTGACCCTCAACCCCGGCGAGGTCTTCGGCGAGCGGGGCCTGATCGAGGGGGAGAGCGTCCACGACACGGTGGTCCCCAGCATCGTCTAATATGTCCCCTCCCCTCCTCCTCCTCCTCCTCCTCCTCCTCCTCCTCCTCCTCCTCCTCCTCCTCCTCCTCCTCCTCCTGCCTCCTCCTCCTCCTACTTCCTCCTCCTCCTCCTCTCCTCTCCTCCTCCTGCCCCTCCTTCTCCTCCTCCTCCCCCTCCTCCTCCTCCTCCTCCTCCTCCTCCTCCTCCTCCTTCCTCCTCCTCCTCCTCCTCCTCCTCCTCCTCCTCCTCCTCCTCCTCCTCCTCCTCCTCCTCCTCCTCCTCCTCCTCCTCCCCCCACTGGGCCACTGCACAGTCAAGTCGCATAGCATGGATGCGCAATTTTCCAAGGCTGCCCCTGCCTCCTTGCCCCTTCGGCCCATCCTTGGCGGCCTTCGCTGGCCAGCCCCGCTCGGTATGAAAACGCCAACGTGGCCCTCAGAGGCCCTTGCATCCTCACCGAACATCCTTCTTCCGCGACTCGGCTGCGTCGCAGCCCCGACAGCCCACCCTCCCAGGTGGGGGTAGGCCTGGCGAAACCTGGGGGAACAGGCGCATAGCATTAAGGCGGGCGTGTCCCTCTACAGGAGGAATATTCAAAAATAGTCCAAAATAGTCTGGGGACGATTTTTGTAGTATTTTTCAAATCATTGTTGAACATTTGTTGAATATGTTTGTTTTTCTACGAAAATCGGCCTGTAGAAGGACATGCTCGACCTGAGCATAGCATATCCCCACCCAGGCCCATAGCGGGCAAGTCAGTAGGGCCAAGGCCCCACGCCAGTGGGGATAGGGATGGGTCAAGCGATGCTCAGGTCCGGAACTGGAAGGGCGGCCTGTCGCATTGCGCCCGGCTGCGCGCCGACGCCCTCGAGGTCGGCACGGAGCTAAAGGGATCGAGGGAAAGGAGCTCTCGGAGGCTTTGGGGGGCGTGCTCGACCTCTCCGCCCCTGGGCCCTGGGAGCGTAGGAGGAGGAGGAGGCGGAGGAGGCGGAGGAGGAGGAGGAGAGGGAGGAGGAAGTAGGAGGAGGAGGAGGAGGAGGAGGAGGAAAAGGAGGAGGAGGGCACGCGGGGGGGCGCGAGAAGGCGATGGCGGCCCGTGCGCCGCAGCCTCGGCCGCAGAGGTGCCCTCCAGGGGCGGCGGCGCGGGAGCGCGAAGAGAAGCGCGCGCCGCGCATCGCAGGGCCCGCTGAGTGAAGTCGGGCGACCTACCCAGACATCTGGCGTCTCGAACAAAAAAATCCAAGGGAGGAAAAAACCACCCCTAGCACCAAATAGTGCCCAGCTAACAGAATTAGCACCCAAATTAGCATTTTGAAAAACGGTGATGTAACCATCTATCTTTCAAATGTTCAATAAGAATTACTCTTACCATCAGATGATGCTGCTAATACTAAGCCATGTCATGAGGTGCCCATGAACTGGCGTTGATTCAATGGCCCTGGGCGTTTACTAGACGGCCCTGCCCTGTTCGATTCCTTCCACAGGTGCGTTTGCTAAACGGCTTCGCTTGTTGGGGTGCTTATCATGGGGGTGGATTTTCTGCCCTCTGAAAATCGAGGCGGAGGTTTTTCATCGCTTGCGGCCTCTCGGGGCCCTTGCCCGGCCTCGGGGCCGTCGAAGTACGGCTCGCGAGGAAAAGCCAGTCCCGGGTAAGCGGTTGAGTGGTCGGGAGAGCCCGCGCCTCGAAAGGATCGGGACGCCGGTTGTTTGGGCAGTGGGGGGGGCAAAACGGTATTGGCACCGCTACTTACCGAAACCCCCCCAGGCCCAGTATCGATGGCAACGATAGGGGGGGGGATAGGCATAGGGGGGATGCATCGATCCCCAATCGCCCATTGATCGCAGATAGGGACCCAAGACCCCACCCCGCCCAGGAAGGTGCGGATTTACTATCGGGGGCCATCGCCGATCTATCCACGATGTATTGCCGATTCCAGGTCGATTCATCCCCCCCTATGCCTATCCTGTCGTTGCCCCTCACAGTCGGACCCGAGTTTCGAGGAGAAGCCAGCCGTGGCGACGGGGACCGACGTTTTGCTCTTTCAATACGGTGCCCCTGGAAGTCCCGACCCCGTCCCCACGGGTTCTTCATCCCAGACTGTTCCGACGCTCCCGGGGGCCCGACGAGGGCCCCCGAGGCCGCAAACGACGAAATGCCTCACGTCGCGCACTTTCGCCCACGACGCATGTCCGGGGGGGGCAGTTTCCCTGCACGGCCGCCGAGGTCGCAGTCCGCAGTCTGCCCATGCGCC